TGGGATTACAGGAGTGCGCCACCACACCTAGTCTAAGTATGAACATTTTAAAGGTTCATGAAAACTAATTTCATTAAATCCCAGAGACTGTGTCATTCAGTTCCCACCGAGAGAGGAATGGGTTAGCACATGGTCCTGTTCACACCATGCTTTGTAATTGCTTTAAAGATTTTTTTTTTTTTTTTTTTTGCAGAACCAGGGATTGAACTCAGGCCCTTGTGCTTGCCAGGGGAGCACTTATTCCACTGAGTCATCTCCCCAGCTCCAGTTGCTTTAAAGTTTGACAAGTAATAGCAGAGAGAATAATACCACCTCTTGTGAAGTTGCATCTTTTCAGATCTTTTTGTTGGCCATTTACAGTTGATTTCTGGGTAGTTTATGTTGTATTATTGTCTAAATTTGTTTTTAGTTGACAAATTAATTGCTGAAATAGTTGGTGCATTTAGAATTGGGTTTTTGTTGTTGTTTTCTCTTTCAGATTTTGGCCCATCAGGCCTGGCCTCTGGTGCTACTTATTTACAGTACTTATTTCCTTCCATCTTGCTGATGAATATGCTGCTCACCCCCACCTTCTTCAGCTTGCTGTGGGCTAAGAAACTATGCAAACACAACCCCTCCCCGGTTTTCCCCCAGTCTCTTGACCACCTCTGGACTTTGTACAGATGTCAGTCACTGCCTCCATTTTTCCTCAACTGTTTGCCAGTCTCTTTATCTTGTAAGACTTCAAACCTTTTGGGGGTAACGTCCATGTCTTATTAGAATTTTTGTTGAATTGATGCTTAGATTATTACCTTGCAACATTTAGAATTCTTTGTTACAACAGAATAGCCAAGTAAGGTGCTATAAAGAATGTAGATTATCTTTTGTAATCAGAAGATTTAATCTATAAAAGGTTGGTTTTGTTTTTTTTTGTTTTTGGCTGGCTTCGAATACCTTCAGGGCAAGTTTGGCTGGCTTGAGTTCTGGGGATCGAACCACAGCCACCTGAGCCTGATTGCTTTGTGGAAGCAGCCACTTAAAGAACTGAGCTAAGGGGTAGGCCCCCTCACCTATACTTTTGAGATAATTGGGACTTAGAGCACCATTGACTAAATAGCAAAGTATTAACAATAATAAGCATAATATGTTTAGAACAGCAATTATCAAAATTTTAAATGTTATATTGCTTCCATTGAGTCACTGACTATACTTATAATAAATATAGGGCTGGTGAGATAACTCAGTGGTCTAAAGCGCCTGCTTAGGCAAGTTTAGGCACAGGGACTGAGGTTAGAACCCCGGCACCACCTGCTGTGCTAGCCCCACCCTCAGGTCAGGCTGAGCTGCCCACTCCCAAGCACAAATTTATGCAATAATTAGATTTGGAAATAAATTCCCATTCAAAACTCAACTGTGAGAAATAATCTATTTGAAAAGTAACTTTGACAAAATCCCTTTGTAGTTCCACTCACAGTGAGATCACACAACGTAACTTGCAAGATTATGAATGAGAACTTCGAAAATTTACCGTGGCTCCAAGAAATTTCTTACCAACTTTATTAGCATTACTAGATGGTCAGATTTATTTTTACATGGATATTAAAATAAACTACATGAGGCTGGCCAAATAGCTCAGGGGATTAAAGCGCCCGCAGGCAGGTGCAGGGGCGGGGTTCAATCCCAGCGCCTGCTGTGCCAGCCCCGCCCCTGGGGCAGCTGAGAGGCAATCGAGAGAGGGTGTGGCGGTGCCCGCCTGTAATCCCAGCTCTTGGGAGGCTGTAAACGGTCGAATCACTAGGAGTCTGAGTGAAAATCACTATGAACTGTGTAATGAGACCCTGTACCAAATACATTAGATAAATAAAACCACAGATGGGTGGTTTCAGTTCTGACACTTTCCTGTGCCCACAATGCGCTCCATCCTCTCCTCACACCTTGCTGCCCTCTCCCTTCCCTCCCACAGGACCCAGATGCCACTGCCATCCCAGTTCAAGCCCCATTTCCTGAACTGTGAGCAGCCCCTCC